GTCATGGTCAAAATTAACTTTTAAGATTTAATTTGCAGAAAAAAGTATTTTTTTTTAAAGTTGAGGTTAGGAACATAATTTCATCAAAAAGCTGATGTAATAACGTTTGAAATGAAAAAAAAAAAATTGCTCTACTATAAAAAACGATGTAGATACGACGACTTGAAAATTACCATAAAAGGCAAAATTACCATAAAACTCAAAATTTAAAATTGCTATTTCTTCGAAAATAAATTTAAAAAAAAAATTCCGATACACGTGTTCGCTTATTTTATACCTACAATTGATATATATATATATACATAATATTGAAAACTATTCTATATTTTTCCTTGCTTACCCTAGTGAAAATTGTTCTCATAATTTTTATACCAATTGAAACATTTATCAATAATACTCTGATATATTCGGAAAGTTTACATCTTCTCTCAGAATTTTTCATACAAGTGAGTTCTGAAATATTCAAAAATTTCTCATAATTAAAAAAAAATATTTTTTTTTAGATTTTATAATATTTCATCAGAAATTAAACTTACAAAAAATTTTAGAAATCTTACGATATTTCATAATTAACATATATGAAAAATTCTAAGAAAAGGTATAGATTTTCTGAGAAATGTTCCAATTCGTATAAAAAATGTGAAAAACTTATAAAATATTAAATAGAATTTCTGAAAATTTATATGAAAAATGCAGAGAAAAATTTTCACCAGAGTACGCAATAACTTTTCACGCGAAGCGATTTTCACCCCTGCTTCAGAGGGACACGACTTCCACGCGAAGCGACTCTCACCCCACCTCCCCTCACCCTCCCCCCCTGCTTAGGGGCGCACGATTTTCACACGAAGCGACTCCCACACCACCTTCCCTCCTGCTTAGAAGTGCACGAATTCCACGTGAAGCAACTTGGCGAGATGAAGTGAAGGAACTCGATTCGCAATGGAAAATCATAAAATATATTTTGAAGTAGGAAATTTTTGTTATATACGTGTCCCATTTTAATCCCTCACCCAAAATATTTTGAAAAATAAGTGTTTTAGAGAAAAATGCTTCGGACAAAAGTTGTTCAGGACAATGGGGGCCATCTTTCTGCATTGTTGGTTTTGACCTTGATGTCAATTTTCAAGGTTATTTGAAGGTTACGGTGATTTTTTTAAATGGGAACCCCTATTTTTGACACCGGATTCGGAAAGAGCGGGAAATTTTACGTCCGAAATGATAGTTAGATAATTTGCTAGAGTAACCTTCAGAAGGTCAAATATTGAAAGTCGTCAAATGTTGTCAAATGTTGAATCGTCCAAAAGCTGTTTTCTTCGAACTGTAGATTTATGGGTGAACAAATGTTTGAGTAGGCTTTGGTACCAACGACCTTGACCATTTTGACCTTGAGGTCAACTTTCAAGGTCATTTGAAGGTCAAAGCGATTTTTAAAAATGGAAAACCTTACTTTCGTCGCAAATCTTACATTTTCTCTGAATTGTTTTTTGATTGAATGTACTAAAAATGCAAAGCAACATTTCTAGGTAAAAACATGTGATAACCAATTACAAATAACCCCCATCGTTAAAACCCTACGGCCTCTTTAACATACTTGGACATTTTTAATAAAATTAAATTATTCCACTTTTTTTCGAGGATGACTTACTTACATAATTATCTGTTGGACATTGTTATCCGACAACCATTAATCACCAATTATATACAACCCTTAAGGTTAACCCTACAGTCAGATTTCCATTAAAACTTTTGCTAACATTTAGTAATTACACAGTTTTTCGAGCCTAACTAACTTGTAGAAATTATCTGCAAAATTTTTTGGCAGATAACTTTAATCAGAGGTAGTGGATCTTATACATTTTTGGTCACTGAAAACAAATTGCCTGATTTGGCCCTTCACTTCAGGTTTTTGAGATACCCTAACCTCAAATTGCAAAAAAGGCTATTTTTGAATATTTAGTATTTCCGACATTAATCGCATTTTCACGAGTCGTCTTAGAAAAGTGCGTGCGTGCGTGCGTGCGTGCGTGCGGGCGTGCGTGCGATTAAATTCCTGCTCTCAGCATTACCCAGGATCAACAACGGGGACGTAGCAGGTGTCTGATCCCATCGGGGTGCTGGTTTAACGTGAGTAATCACCTTGCTTCTCACGTGTGTGCGCGCGTGTGCGTGTGCATGTGCGTGAGTATGCGTGTCACAGCAGAGATCGAGAAATCTCAAAATCGACAGAGAAATGAAGGCAAACTCAGTGCCTGATCACAACCAATAAAGGTAAGATCAGATTATGATTTAAACAGTGAATGCAAATTCAAATGTTAATCCATCCAATTAAGGCAAGACCATACATTTACCTATCCAGTGGGATTAAAAGGAGTGTGTGAATCAACCAGTGAAAACGAGATCAAAGTATGACGCAGCTAATGAAAGCAAAATCATAAAATTGCGCATCCAAAGATGTCAAATTCTGATGAGGACCCAACCAATAAAAGCAAGATCAAATCATGTTTTGGGATCTAAAGTAAGTGTTCAAATACTCCTCCATTTACCACAATACATTTATTAATGCGATTTTGGAATGACGCTCTCATCCTTTGAAGAACATCAAGAGTAATCTCTTGGCATGCTTGTCGTATTCTTATTTTCATGTCCTCTACTGTTGTTGGCTCTATTGCATACACTTTTTCCTTTAGATGACCCCAGAGGAAGAAATCCAAGGATGTCAAATCTGGGAATCGTGGGGGCCAAACTTGAATTGGGCTTCCAAGGCCAATCCACTTGTTTGGGAATTGCTCATTTAGGTAAGCTCTTACCTGCCGTGATCTGTGAGCTGGTACCCCATCCTGCTGGAACCACATAATTTGTCGAATATTACAAGGTACATTCTGTAGAAGGATTGGTAATTCTTCTCTAAGAAAATTTAAATAGTTTACCCCATTTAAATGTTCATGAAAGAAAAATGGCTCTACAATACAATCACCCACAATACCGACCCAGACGTTAATAGATCATTGCCGCTGAAACTCTTGATGACGTTTCCAATGGGGATTGACATCTGAATAGTAATGGCAATTATGTCTATTAACACCTCCTCTGTTTATGAATGTGGCTTCATCACTAAAAAGCACCATTTCGAATGCAGGATTTGCTTGTGCCTGGGCTTGCATCCAATTACAAAAAGCAAGACGACGTGCGAAATCACCCTCTACCAATGTGTGAACTAGTTGAATGTGATAAGTAGACTGCGGAACTTTATGTAAAATACTTAACTGAATATTAACTATCGGACAGTTTTAGCAGTCAATTGTTGTTCGTTAAAAAGTTATTAAAAGGTGAAGTAAAAAGATTGAGATTGCCATCTGTAAATTTACAAAATTGCAAAATATGCATTTTATACAAAACATTCAGTTAAGTATTTTGCATAAAGTTCCGCAGTCTAGTGATAAGGATAAAATTTGTTCGCTCTCAGGATTCGGCTTTACGTGGACCTACAAATGCCATACTGCCTTTCAATTTGTCTGGTTGAAACGTGTGGATTTAAAGTAGTAGCAGCGATGACAGTCACCGTCTTGGCTTCGTTAGCACCTGATTTTTGACGCACTCGTTTCAAGCTACCTTGCTCGGCTCTTTTGCAAAGA